CGGCGCGCGGGGGCCCCGGGGCGCGGCCCGTGGGCGGCGCTGTGCGCGCGGGACAGCTGCGCGCCCGCACCGCGAAAGCCGGGGCCCGGCCGGCGGGGGGTGGGGAGCGCGGCGGAGAAATGGGGAACAATGCAAGCGAGCAACTTCAGGAAGTCATTGTGAAAGGAAGCTGGGACGCGCGCGGCGGCCGCGCTCGCCCGGCATTCTAACAAGTGCCTGCACGGCCGGCGCGGCGGCGACGGTGGCGACACTTCCCGGGGCCCCGCGGAGCGCGGCCGAGGCGGCTGGACGCCGGGCCGCGACGAGGCGGCCGCCCAGGCGAGCCCGTCAGGGCAGACGGAGCCTCGGCTCGCGGGCGGCCGCTCTTCCGGCCCGACGATCGATCTTGGCCCCCAAAGTGCGACGCCCAAGTCCACGTGAGTGTTTTCAGTTGCATTTCAAAATGAAAACGGGGGTAGCTGGTGGATTTTAAAAGAAAAGAAAAAGAGAGACAAGGAAGAAAAGAAAAGACAAGGCAGTAACATTCTTAACCCCAGGTTTCGGTCAGATCTGCCTCTCCTTTTGGGGGGACAGTGAGAGCGCTGGCTTTTGGCAAAGACTTGGCCACTTGGTGCTGTGAGCACAGGCGCGGGACCAGGCCGGCCGTGGGACGCCTCCGAGCCGCCCTCCTGCTGTCAGCGTGAGGACTTTCTAGCTCCAGCCAAGTCTAACTTGATACACACCTCACAGCGAGACCAGAGGTCAGCTGTTATGCAGTCAGTCGTAAAGAGCTTTCTTTGCTTATATTTTAGGTGAGAGTTTTTGCTTGTATTGTAAAATAATTAGATTGAGCCTGAACTTGCTTTCTGCAAAACGGAATCATCCTGGTTTGAAAAGTTCGAAGTACTTGTGCTGACTGCGATGTTGGCTAGGAAACCCCTCAGTAATAAGGCATCGGGTTACTTGCAACTATTTCTGACATGTTTTAAAAACATTTCAGGGATCCTTGGTTGTTTCCTAAGAAATTTCTCCGGAAAGTGTGATTGATTTTGTTTTTCTTCTCTAATTTGGAGGCACAGAGCATGGCACCTAGAGAGAGAGAAACGTCAGAACCCAAAGGTCTGATCAGGCACAGCTTTCAGTGCAGCCCCCATGCTCTCCTGGGCTGCAGCCAGCCTAGACTGAATTCAAGCCAGTGTGCGTGCCAGGTTGCACACACATTATTTCCCACCATGCTCCCACGGTGTATTTCAGCTTTGCGGTACCTTGTTTTAAACTTGGAGAGATGAGCTGGTGTTGAAGAAATCCCCTTACTGGTCAAATAAACGTCTGTTCAAAAAGAAAAAAAAATATGAAAATTGAAAATATTTACTATGCATGATGTTTAAACACTGATGGAAATTTTACTGATTTTAAGGATTGGTTCACTTTGGTTACAAGTTGAGAGGAGAGAGAACCCTGCAGGAAATGGTTGGAGCCTCTTGGATTTATTTCTTTGTTTCAAGATGTTTGATGAGCATAATTGGACTCATCTTTTTAAGTGGGATTTGGAATGTAACAATTTAAATATTATTTATATTAAATGTGTCAGAATTGTTTCAGTGACAAAGCAGATTGTTTGGTGTGTGACTTAACATTTAAACAGTGAAAAATACCCATGACAGGAGGATTACCTGCTTACCTCATAGAATATGCAGACATTTAAAAAAAATAATTTGTATACACAGACAGAAATAACGATGTCACATTGTAAAGTCCTATGCAATTCTGGTTTGATATAATGTATCTGATTTCAAAATTTCCCACAAACGTACGTTTATCTCCTTTTTTTTTTTTTTAATAACATAAAAAAGAATGAGCTTTCCTGTCTGGAAGTCCACCCAACAGACCTGATGCCTAAAACATTTTATTGAGTTAAATGGTCATGTTTTTTCCCCTTTTGTTTCGTGGTGACAGTGGAGGGCAGGCGCTTTAGAAACTCCACCATGCCTGTGTGTGTATTCATCAGTGTTTTAGTTTAAGTGCTACCTCCTAAAAAACGACACATTCTCCAAAATGCAGGAGCACTGCAGGATTCTAGCCCCTCATCTTGGTCTCGCAGGATGAACCTCCCCTCCCCAGGTCTGTAAACAGAAGCATGCGTGTGCTGTTCCACCCCTGAGAAGCTTGTGCACAGTCTCCTGGGAGAAAGTAAACCGTGGCTGGCCTTGCAGCCATTTCCCTGTAGAGAAGTTAAGATCATAGTGTACTTCCGGCCAGGAGGTCTACAGCCCAGCTGTCCTGGGGCCACTGCGTCTTCCTTACTTGGCTAGAGATTTAGGTTTGAGGGTGGTGGTTCTCTGGTTTGGGGATTTTTCCCCCTTTTCTTGGATTTGTGTATTTCACATTTGGTTAATGCAGTAGCATATTGTCAAGATGACAGACTTTTGAAATTTGAGAGACATTATGTGTGTGTTTAGATCTCTCTCTCTCTCTCTCTCTCTCCATATATATATAATATTACATATTATATATACTGTCTGCTGCATGCTATGCTATGGAAAACCCCCAGCCACATGTACACGTATTCTATATATACTTCAGGATTAGGTGTGTATTAATGGATACAGGAAATAAAGAAACTAGTGTATGCACACACACATGCACACATGGCATGGGAGAGGCCTGGGGACAGGATGGAAAGAGTTTTAACATCCAACAGACCTGACTTGAGTGGTAAAGTCCCTTTTTTTCTGTTTGTTTGCTGGTTTTTACATTTTACTAAGACAGGATGCGTTTTCTTATCTATAATGGTGAATTAGGTCTAAATGATTGAGCACCTTCAATGTCTGCCTACTGTGTACATGTTAACTGCCGCTAACCCAGGATGTGTCCAGGGTAGCACTGTTTAGGGGCGTTCTGGCTTTTTTCTCCTCTTGTCTCTGTGACTGAAATCATTTCACTATGACATAAGTGTTGGCTTTTGTTGCCTTATTCTAAGGGGGATCTGTGTCGGTGGATTCAGCTCAGGGAGCAAACTGTCTGTGAGCCCTGCTGTTTCTAAGACTTACAGGCTTGGGGCATCGGGCCTCCCGCTTCTAGCCCAGACCCTGTGCCCCAGACCCTGCGCCCCCACCCTGGCCGTTAGGTAGTCCTCAACTGTGCCCCTACGTTTGTATTTGCAGAGCCCTCAGGCATGCTTGCAAGGGCCTTCCGTTTCATGGGTGAAAACACAGGAGGTAAAAGTGACAAGTGACCCATCCTTTGGGGCTCACAAGAGGAGAGCCTTTGATCTAGGTTGCACCTTGAGGCAAAGCGCTCTGTTTGGCTCCAAACGGGCACATGAAGCTGTGGGGTCCAGGCCTAGGATGGGTGTGTTTCGGAGTACTGGCCGCACACACACACATTTGGAATTCAGAGGAGTGGGAGCTAGGAACTGGGGTTCTCCAAGGCTTTGGGCAACTCGACCCAGATTGGATTTTTTGTGGGGTCGACTAACCATTCACCTGGATTTCTTCATGTAGACCCCCGGTGTCTTTGCTGTTCTCTGCAAAGTTATTTGATAAATAACTTCCCACCTGAGGTTCTCTTTCTGTAATAGACGTTCGTGCCCTTCAATTTTCCATGTTGTTGCTTTAATAGCTTATGTTTGATGTAGTTTTCAAATGTTGGATGATCTTCTGACAAATTTTTAAAGATACTATGAAACATTAAGAGTGAAGTGAAACAGCAAACAGAAGAAGCTTTGCCGACAGTTTCTGAGTGGAGAGGGGAGCAGGGCCCGCCTGGTGGCGGCTGTAGCACTGACCGGCTGTCCAGAGAGGGGCCTCGGAGCAGCAGCCGAGGCCGCACCTACAGGCGCAGCCTCACCGGCCCAGTGCCTTTTCCCGTCTCATGCTTCGCTGTGCTAAGTGGGTGGAGGCCTTCGGTGCCTTCAGGGACCCACTGGGGGTGGCTGTGAAACATGGTGAAACCCAGAGGCCCGGGTGGA